AGCAGGTATGAGTCAAGAACAGGTTGGGGGAGAGCCTCAATTAGGAGGAGAGTGCTTGATTCTTTTAGATTGGGGGGAAGGGAAGAAAGTTTGTATGCCCAGCAAAGTCTTACTCATCCCTTGAAAATCATCAGTTCAAGTATCACCTACATTGGGAAGTCTTCTTTAACAACTGCTAAAGGGTGGGTATAAACAAGTTGGGGAGAAGCCGTGTCCAGGTGACAGCCCTAATGTTTTGGATGGGTTAAGAGTGAGATGGGTAGAGATGGCGCAGTCTTGAGGACAGGGATGAAAGGGGAAAGCAGAGGGAGATGACTGAAGCCAAGAAATGTAACTGAGCAATCATGCACGAGTCACTTGGATTAGACACCATACATTAATACGAGGATGGGGTCTTGCTAGATGAGCACAACAGGAGAGGAGCGCCAGTTCTCTGAGAGTCCTGATGAAAACACAACTCAGGGAACTAACTGTGGGTTCCAGGCTGGATAGAGAAGATGCTAGAAATGGGCTGTAAATTGGAGACAATGAGGGGACCAAGAGTCTGGTGATCAGATTCATTGTGGTGAAAGACAGTGAAGAAGCTGTGGGAGTTTGTTTCTGACATAACAGAGCAAAGTAAATTGGACTGCGGGAAGGAGACAGGTTTCTCCTGAAGGAACACCCACCTCTGCCTACTGTGCGGTCTCCTCTTTCTTGCCATCCCTTAAATATTGGAATTGCCTAAAGTTCTGTCCTCAGCCTTCTGACTCTACGCACTGCTGCTGGTACCCTCATTCACATCCATGGCATAACTCCGCCTGACTACTCATGTCCGTTCCAGCTCCCTCTCTCTAAGTTTCCTGGGTAGCCCCGACTGGGCTTTACAGAGCCCTTGACATTGAACATGTCCAAAACTGAACTTATCTTCCCCTAACATGAGCTCCTCCTTCAATGTGTTACCTATCTTAGTGCACATAACACATCTGCTCCCCAAAGTCACCTTCAACTTCTCGCTCCATAATCCACTAAGCTTTATTGCACAATCTACCTGCTTACACATCGTTAGCATCCTTTTTCTCAGTCCTGTCCATCCTCACTGCTCCTACTGTGTTTCCCCAAAAATAAGCCCTAGCATGATTTTTCAGGATGCTCGTAATATAAGCCCTACCCCAAACATAAGTCCCAGTTAAGAACACCAGCCAGGCATGACTGTTTGAATAAATGTACATTTTTGTACATGAATAAATGTAGATTGTTGGAGCAAACATTAATATAAGACCCGGTCTTATTTTCGGGGAAACACGGTACTTTAATTGGGGCCTTCAGCAACTCCCGCTAACTGTTCCCCTGCTGGCCACCCTCTTGCCTTGACCTAAGTCTGTCTGTCCGTTTTCATCTCCCTGGGATGATTTCTGATGCCTACATTAGCCCTTCTGAATCTGACTCTGTGGGGATGGGGAATCTGGACACTCGGAAAACTCCATGGTTGCTTTTTTTCTGCAGCCAGGACACAGACATCCCATGGAAAACACTGCTCCCATCACCAATAATCATCTCCTATAACCAACAAGTCTTCCCTCCCATGACAACGTGAAGCATTCCCGACTTGTACCCTAGATCGCAACCTGCTTCTTCCTCTCAGGTTTTGCTCTTTCATCGCTGTCTGTATAACTCAAGAGGGGCAGCCTTGGACACTCTTCAGCCTTCTTCCCAGGCTCCTCCTCCGCTCCTTGTTCAAGTTCTGTCCTCAGTTCTCTTCTCACCTGCCTTCTAAATGATTTCATCACACATCTCAGGAAATGCTCACTCCGGCTAAAATCAACAATCCTCAACTTCATTACCTCCTGCCTCCTTGCCAGGCCCTGCCCAAGCTCTGGCCCTCATGGAGGCCCTCTCCCCACTTGTACATCTGACAAACTCTTCCTCATTCCTCAAAAATCAACTCAAATATCGCCTACGGTGAGAAGTTTTCTTTAACAACTGTGCTTCCCCACCTCCATCATCCTACTCCCTGCAATAAACCCACAGCTCCAAGTACAGAAGCTGTTTCATTTCTTTTAAAAAATTTTCCCCGCTAGATAACTGAACTCCGTGAGGGTGGGAGCTATACGTGGAATACATCAGAGGTGAAATTAATGTTGGTTGAGTCTACCGTTACATAGTGAATATACTAGAATGTGAATAAGTAGTGGGAACACTTGTTAATGTAATAAATGGTACATCTATTACACATAGTTGACTGGCGGCACTGGTCTATAAGCAAGGAATCCAAAATATGCCATGAACACTTTGCTATGCACTTTTAACCAGTCATCATTGTATGACTGGGCAGACAGCAATATAGTTTCAAAGACATGGTCACAAAGGCCCTTCCCTTGATTTACTGCCCTGGTGGCCCCTGCTTTCTTTAGTACCTTGAAAATGCCCTGCTGTGCCTATTTGAGTCTTTGTGCTTGCAGCTCCCTTTCTGAAAAGTGCACGTTTTCCAACAAACTGACATGGCTGGCTCCTTCTCACCACTGGGGTCTCAGCTCAAATGTCACCTTCCCAGTTATCTTCTCTGACCACAAACGCTAAAGTAGTCGTCCACCATAACCTCAGTCCCTGCCATTACCCTCTTATTTTTTTTCACTATGTGAAATCACATTATTTGTTAACCTATTTGATGTTGGTCTCCTTTATCTTGCTTACCACTTTATCACCTGTCCACGAACAGTGTGTGGCTTATATGGGTACTCAACAGACACTTGCTCAATTAATAAAGGAGGGGGCAGGTGGGAATAGTCGGTTAGCTCAGGTGGTTAAAGCGCATGGTGCAGTGCTCATAACACCAAGGTTTTAGGTTCAATTCCTACATGGGCCACTGAGGTACGCCCTCCACAACTAGACTGAAACAAGTACTTGGAGCTGATGAGTTCTGGAAAAACACACTGTTCCCTAAAAAAAAAAAAAAAAAAGGAAAGGAGGGAGCAAGTGTAACACTAAAATATCATTACCTACTAGTCACAAAATGTGGGAAATACACAGGTGACAGGAAATGGCAGAGATTCTTCGCTCGAAAAGAGAATATTATTCACCACCAGTGGGGGCAGAGGTAGGCAGATTATTCTTTCTCAGGATACTTAACCAGGATCAGAACTCTGACTTACCAAACAGCCATACTTCTTACCTAAATGAAATCACTTCCCTCTAGTTTTACGAAGAAAAATTTTAAAGCAGGGTAACTGCTCACACCCAGACTTGCCAAAAGACCAGTCCTGGAAAAACTATGCCTAAACTCCACTGTTAACATTGGGACCAAAACTTGTTTAATGCAGTGTTCCCAGCATCTAACACAGTTTTTGGCCCACAGTAGATGCCCAGAATATTTGTTAAATGAGCACATAAGACATGGTCTTCTGAGGAATGGCCATTCCATCAACTCTTACACTGCAGATATCTTATTTTAGAAACAGGGCAAAACAGCTAAGGAGGAGCCCTTGGCCTGGGCCTCTTCCTATGAAGCAGTTTGGTTCCTAGAATTCAATACTCATCCATCTGTGCCACAGATAATTAAGTATTACCTTTCCCAGAGTCACCATGTATCAAATTTTATATATTCTGCCAATATAAGGGCTAATGCAATACAGTAATCAATAACAGATTTCGCTTGCCTTTTTAATTTTTTATATGTATTTTGCTCATCAAGGAAGGGTAGTTCTAAATGCTGAAAGAACAACTAAACTGAAGAATTCTACCATTAATTTCATATCCACCAGTGTTTGGTTCACTGTGTGAAAATGCCATCACCTTCTTGACTCAGTTTCATCAACAGTCATAATGTTCTCCATCCAAAGGTAGTTTTGGGGGAATTAATTAGGTAGTACTTAGTTGTAATGTATTCTGAGGCCAATTCCTGAAAGATGTCATAAATCAAATTAATTATGAAACAAGGGAAATCATAAATATTAAGCCCACTTCAAAAACCTGAGAAGTTGAGAAGTGTGGAGAAGATTTATAAGTATGCCTGTGGCTCTGTTACTAACTCTCACACTAAGACATGTATTCTCAAAAAAAGATTCCTAACATTCACAACAGACCCTTCATATTTGCAAATGTCAACTGCTTTTGTACTCTGGCAAGATTAACTTGACATGTATAAAGATATGAGGTAAACTGTGACGAGCAATTGCAAAATTACAGCTGTTCAAACAGCCTAATCTCAGTGCTGTTTAGTTAACGTACAGTCCGCTTTACCAAAAGTCAATTCAAAAATTTCAGTGAGAAAAAGTTGTTTAAAAGGCTGTAAGTTGTTTAAAAGGCTATATATATACTTCGCTGCCCTCTATCTGCTGACCACCGCTAACACTCAAGTAACAATATCTAGCAAGAAGGAACCAGCGAAAAGGTCCGCGCTTTCCTGCCACACGACTTCCTAACTTCCTTCCACTTTAAAGTACTTTAATCAGTTTTTGTTTGTCTAAAAACTCTTACGTGAAACTGAGAAAGAGAGAAATCTAAGTAAAACTGAGATCAGATCTTGAACCAGAGGTTGGAATTTGCATGTGAGGGAGAGCCAGGTGTTCCCTCTTGAGCCTAAATGAATGGAGCAAGGTGACCAGGAAGGGGGCAGGCTTCCAACATCGCCTCCACCGGGACAGCCTCTTCTTTCGGCCTGGCACACGCACTGCTGAGGGCAAGGGGCCGGGCCAGGAGACCAGGGCACCCAGCCTGACCCTAAATGCCCAGCCGATCGGCAACAGTCCCTAGAGCACTGGAGCATCGCACCTGAGGCTAATAGGTGGAGGGGGCAGGGCTGGCGCCGGGACTCAGTCCCCATTCGCCCCCGCAGCATGAAGTGGGGGCGGTGCCTACTGCCCCCCACGGGCAAGAACCACCGAGAGGTGCGGGCGCCGGGATGGAGGATTGGCCCCCAAACGTCCTGCAACCCCGAGAGCCCCCGCTGCCTCCAGTTTCCTCAAGGAGTTGCGCAGGGTGGCGTGTAGGGTACGGCCAGGATGGCGGCGACCGATACTCACAAAGCCCACTGGAGCCGGTGCTGGTGAACATGGTCCCGTCTGACCCGGAGCCCCCGCGGGGCGACAGTGGGAGGGGAAGCAGAGGTGGAGGGACCCGGCGATCGCGCAGGCGCACTCCCGGCGGGGCGGCGAATCCCGCAACTCGATTCCACTCCAGGGGGCCGCCTGTGAACGGCGCATGCGCGTCTTGTGGGTCTAACCGCTCAGTCACCCCCTCCCTTCCTGCCTGGAAAGGGAAGTGCGTCCTCAGCGGGAGGTTCCGCCTCTTCGGCTTTTTCCGACGGGCGCGGGCGCCTTATGGAAAAGGAATGGGATAGTGTAGGAGGAGCGAAGGTGTAACTCCTGGAAGCGGCACACTAGTGCTCAGCGCCGCCCGCATGCGCCTGTGCAGCCGCGGTGGCAGCAGATTCTTCTGGAGTACCGGCGCGGGAGGTTTCCTTGCGACCTCTAACCTCGTCCCTGGGTGCTGTCAACGCATGCTCAGTCCTTTTGGGCAGTACCCCAAAGCTCTGCAGTCCTCAATTATTTTAAAAAGTCGTGAAGGGATCCCCAAACCAAATGGTTTGAGAACTGCTGAAACAGGAGATAATAAAGCGCTCTGAAGTTTAAAAAAACGAAGACAAAAATCAAACTTTTCACTTATTTATGTTCAATTGTGCAAACATCCTTAACTAAAGGCGTGATAATATGGTATGTAGACGTTGCTTGAAAATATTTTTAATGATCTATACCTTGAGTGTCTTTCTACTTTGTACTCTGAGGAGCTGTACCTGTTGACTGGTAGAAAGCTGTAGGTTTCTCCAAGAAGCAAGTGTTGTCCTTGGGTGGACAGCATTGGCATCACCTGGGTTCTTGTTTGGACTAGGCAATGCCAGACCCTACCCTAAACCTATTAAAGCATCATTTAACAAGTCCCCTAGCTGATTTGTATGCACGTAAAGTCTGAGAAGTACTAGCGAGGTGATTCTCAACAGGGGGTGATTTGGGCCTCCAGGGGACACTTGCCAATATTTGAAGACATTTTTTATTGCAATTGGGAGACAGGGCTCCTACTGGCATCTAATGGGCAGAGGCCAGGGATGGTGCTAAACATCCTACAATACACATGGCCATTTCCCACAATAAAGAATCCTCCTTCCTGCCCACCTCTTCCATTAAGTGAGGATATGCAACGTTTGTGACCTGGAAGAGGGCCCTCACCTGACCATGCTGGCACCTTGATCTCCAGAACTGTGAGAAATAAGTTACTATTATTTATTTTTAAAAATCACTCCTGCCCAAAATGTCGATAGTGCAGAAGTTGAGAAACCCTACACTAGTGTACTTCACATAACCTTTATCATGCAGTCCCAGATCTTTTAGTGTATATCATTTATATTGTCCTTGCCTATATTTCCACCTTGTCTCTTCTCTAGATTGTGTTATGGAGAACTAATTCAATTACTGGAGATCATCATTTACCTTGCTGTGTCTTGAATCTGCATCCTACGTTGGGGTAATAGTGATAGCTTGAAAGGGTGAACCCTTAGTGAGAAGGAACTGTGTCTTACAAAATGTTGTATCCTAACCCATTCGGAGTCTCTTGGTGTGAAGGCATTGCCTTCCTTTAGTAAAACACAGCATCTCTAAGGCTTTGGCATCAGAAAGCAAATCTCCAGGTGAGAGCTGGAAGAAGGTTGATGACCAAACATCAATGACAAGTGCCTTTCCTGTATATTTTATCCTTCCTTTAGCACAGTGTTTCTTTCATATAACAGGTAGACTGGAGTTTTTTCTGAACATAACTAAGTAGCAGAGGTGTGAACAACAACAAAATAAAAATAAAAATCACAAACTTCCAAAGTACCGAGTTCTGAACAGATGACAGCTACTGTGCTTTAAGTTTATAGGCCATATTCTTTTCCACATTCTGACTGAAGAGCTCCTTTCTACATTCACAGGAATTCTATCAACAACCTTTTAGAGGAATTGGATGAAAACTAGTGTTAATGGTCAATCCTTGAATAAAGTAGCCTTCATACTGCTTCAAATGCACTTTCAGCATATAATATCTATGAAAATAATATTTATGAGAAAATTGGTCTGGAAATTTTTTAAGGAGTTACATCTTTTTAACGATTCAATAGCTTTCATAATAGATGTTTACTGAACAGGGAGTGTTTTGGAAATTTGTAAGGGTAGTTTTGGTTGTCACAGTGAATTGGGGGATATCACATGGGGTCCAGTGATGCCAGACACAATCCTTTCACCGAAAATGAATTATTCTCTTTCCTAACCAACATTCGAATCTCCCACCTCGTGTTTATTATATAAGTAAAAACTTGTTTGTATTTAGTTGAGTCTAGAACCAATTCCATTTTACATGTAAGCACGTGTGCTTTGCAGTTTTAATTCATGCTGAATTTTTCTAGAAACACCACTATTATACTGTTTTGCTTGGGACGTAATCAATAGTTGTTCACCAATTCAAAAAACCACACAGCCCTGCTCATAGCATTTGAATCACCATATCCGTTTACATTTATGGCTGGTGCATTCTTAGTGATCCTGTATCTTTCACAGAGACGTACCAATTTAGCTCTTATTTTTAAAATATTATCTGTAATGTTAAATATTAAGAAAAGGTTCTGAGAATATTCAGTTGAATATTTGAAAGTGTCCATACTGACAAGATAGTTTTTTTTTCTAATTCATCTAGATAAACCCACCAAGATTAAGTGAATATTTTATAAAGACATAGAGTTGGCAAAGATAGAAACTTCAAGGATTTAAGAAAAGTTTGAAAATCATAGTACTGTCCCTGAAATGTTTCTTTTAAATCTAATATGAAGGATCTAAGGTATCATTTCTTACAGAATAGCACAAATGATAGCAATCTGTGGTAATACAAACAATATAAGAGAAAAATTAATTTTACTAGCTGTATAAGAGGTTATTATTATGAGAGTAAGAGAATTAAATGATTTCTTCTAGTCTGTTGAGCAATAATATTGTATAAGAAATCCAAAGAGGGGCCGGCTGAGTGGCTCAGTTGGTTAAGAGCTCGCTCAAGAGTTTGAGCTCTGAGCAACAGCAGTTCGAGTCCAGCCCGAACTGAGCAGCCGCTGAGCTGCCAACAGGTAGCAGGATGGCTCAGCTAAAAAAAAAAAAAAGAAATCCAAAGAGGTAGAAAATAGGCTATGAAAAGATTTACACTTAAAAGTATGTTTGTTGCAAGTGAATGGAAGTAACCTGTATGATAATGAAGCTTTGCTGACCGCAAATGTAAGATTCATGGGAATAAAAACTTTGAGCAGAATATTTATTTTCATATGTACAATGGAAATCAAGGATTGTGAAAACTTGAAATTATTAAACATTATTTCACAGGAAAAAAAGTTTCCTTTTTTAATATCATTGTGCAAAAGACAGAACAACAGCACAACAGCCATGGTCAGCTAGTAACGTGGGTTAGTAAACAAAAGTAATAACAGCCATGTTAGCAAGTCATTGAATTATTCATTGACACCCTCAGTCACCAAAAATCATAGTGAAAGATTCACAAATCAATGAATGCTGTCAATGCTAGTAATAAAATTTAAATTTATGCCTTGGATAAAAGATTATTTTGTAATCTTTGCAGTGACTGTGAAAAGGAGTTTGCCTTATCCTACATATGGAAGTAAAATGGTATTCCAAAGAAAATTGTTGTAAAATATTTAACTTATTCTTTAATACAAGCAGGCAATTTTTGTTTCAATCAATAAAAAAATTAAATACTGACATCAAAATATTATTAAGTGATTTGACACATATTTCATATGTATCAGAAATGTTAAACGAAGTCCTTAAATTGGAAGCACATGAGATTGATATTATTAAAGAGGAAGGATTGTCATGAGTTTTTTTCCAACAAATTTACATCATATTAAGAGCTTTCTTTCCCAGAATTTCCATTGTTCCTTTATTTGTTGCAGATAAAACTAGATCTAAGATACCAATTTTTAATTACATTGCTAATTTTGATGCTATTTTAAAACATATAACGATTAGGTCTAAAGATCAGTGTGGACTTATAGTATCAGATTAGGTGATTAATCCACTTGAAAATGATGCAACATATTAGCCAATGTTTGTAGGAAATGTTGAGATATAACATAATTTGGAAGACAAAAAATATTATTTAACCCAAGACATTAATCCGAAAAAATATATGCACCCCTATGTTCATTGTGGCGCTATTCACAATAGCTAAGACTTGGAAACCACCAAAATGCCCATCGGTAGACGACTGGATTAAGAAACTATGGTACATTTACACAATGGAGTGTTACTCAGCTATAAAGAAGGAAATTGTACCATTTGCAACAATATGGATGGAACTAGAGAACATTATGCTAGGTGAAATAAGTCAGTCAGAGAAAGACAAATACCATATGATCTCACTTATATATGGATTCTAGAGGGTTGAATGGATGAGGGGTGTGGACGGGGGTGGTCTCAGAGACACAGAGGAGGGACTGGAGTTGCTGGTTGGAGTGGGGATGGGGGAGAGGGAGAGGGGATGGGACAATACGGATTGGTGGCCACGATGTGGCCTTGGGGATGGAGAAGACAGTCTGGGGAATATAATCAATAATGTAAATATTTTTTAAGGGGCCAGATGGACTCATGTCTTGTTAGGGAGACCACTTCATAGTCGGTGTAGAGGCCAGACCACCGCACTGTATTTCTGAAGCTGATGTTGAATAATAATGTATGTCAA